ACCCCCCCACCTCGGCCGCCGGCCGTGACCCCGGCTAGCGCCTGCCCAGCGCCCCGCCGCCTGCAGCGCGACCCCTGGCGGCTGGGAGGGCCCCCTGCACCCAGCGGGTTTCCCCGCAGCTCTGGCGTCGCCCCGGGACACTGACCCCAGGTAGCCCCAAGTCCGAGGTGCGTCCCGGTCCACCCTGGGTCCCAGGTCAGACGGGGTGTGCTGAGCCACAGTGGAGGCCTGAGAGCCTAGACTTGGTCTCAGGTGGCTCCCCCAGTTTTCAGGTTTAGGGTACATTGCATTTCCTTCAAGCCAGAGCTAGGAGCTCTCAGTTCTCTTTTCTGGAACTGACAAGAGTTTTGGAAAGAGGAAGGGGAGAAGCCGGGACTGCAGGGAGTGGAACAGCACGGAGGTGGGGTAACAGGATGGCCAGGTGGGGAAAAAGCAGAGGCCCGGGACTGAGGCAGAATGAGGAAACCTCTTCATAACGTGGTTGGGAAGCAGGGACTGCTCAACTGAAACTCAGATAAAGGGTGTAGAGACGATGAGGTAGAGGATGAGGGCGTGGGAGGGCTTCTGTGAGACAGAGGCTTGCCTTGGGCCCTGAGGTATAAAGGACCATAGGGGGCTGGGGATTTAGCTCAGCGGCACAGTGCCTGACTGGCAAGTGGGAGGTCGTGAGTTCAATTCCCGGTACCGAGAAGAAAAAAAAAAAAAAAGACCATAAACTGAGCCAGGTGAGGCGCTCCTGGAGTTCAGCTGTTACATCCCTTCTCAGAAGCCAGGCCAGGGGCCGAAGAGGAGTAACTTACCTGGCCAGCCAGGGTCCCTGTCCCTGATGCTGTCTACAACAGAGCCCCAGCATGAGGGCACATGAGGTGACATCGTGCTGTCATGGAAGCTACTTCCACCCTGGGTCCCACGTCCAATTTGAGGTATAAATTCTGAGGCTGGCGGAGCTTCTACAAACCACAGCAGTACTGAAAAGGGGCAAAAAGCCTGCCAGATAAAAGCCCTGTGTCCCAGAAACTCCCTGCATCTCCACCCATACGCCAAACAGCAGCCAACCACAGCAAGGCTCTGAAAGGATTTTTTTATTAACATATAATATATTTAATAAAAAATAATATCCACTCTGGCTCTCTCCTCCATTGCAAGGGGAAGAGTGGCGAGGAGGGGCTGGCACTGCCCACCCCTAGGCATCCGGACAAGCCCTGCCTCCGGGGTTCCCTCTACCCCCTGCTCTCCAACAGGCTCTGACCTCCAGACAGACGGTTTTCAAAGTTACAAGTGCTTCAGGCCCTCCCTTGAGCTCCCCCACGCCCATCCGTTATGTGGAATCCAGGAGCCACCGGACAAACCCCTTGCCGTTTCTCATTCTTAGAATCCTTCATTCATGTCAGAAAGAGAATCTGGGGCAGAGAGTGTAGTCTCCACTGGCCAGGGGAAGGGAGGAAAGGGTGGGGTCAGTGATAGGGTGGGGTCAAGAAGAAGGATGGTGGCGAGGCCCCCTCACTGGAGCCGATCACTGCGGAAGGAATCCTCCACGGCAGGGTCGGGCAGCAGGGCGCAGGGGTCGCTCAGCATGTTTAGCCCTTCCAGGCCCAGTGGCTCCATGTGCAGCTCATCTTCCAGCCCCAGCCCCAGCTCCAACCCAGCTGCCGACACCTCAAAGCCAGGAACTCCAGCCAGGGCTGCTGCAATCTCCTTCGAGAAACCTGGGGAAGAGTCTCCTGCGGGTAGAAGAGGAGGATGCCCTGTCATCTCCCAAGAGCCCTCAACCGCCTACTATGTCAGCAAAGCTATCGCTGCCTCCTGCCACTCCCCACCACCCCACACCACCTCACCTGTGAGGATGATATTAGGTCCTGAGCCATGGCGGGAACAATGGGTCACGTTCTGGTGGTTGAGGGTGTGAGGATCCTGGGGACCATCTGCCGGCCCCTCACCCCCTAAAAATCCAGGCCCTTCGGAAAAGCCAGAGGAATCCAGCACCAGGCTGGTTGATGGACTCTCCATGCTGAATGTCTCCGGCTACGGACACAGAGAGACCTTGAGAAAGTCTCCTGACACGTCTGTCCCCTCTGCCCAGCCATCTTCATCCACCCCAAAAAATGAAGGCACAGACAGACGGAGGTGGCAGCAAGCAGAGCAACAGAAGCAAGCACGGGGCCCGAAGTACATGTGGGCACCGTACCTGCTGGGCCAGAGCATATGCATGCCAGGAAGAGAACGGGTCAAGGCGGGAGTCATCAAAGAGCAAGCTGAGCAGAAACAGAGGGGCAGGAGGAGGGGTCAAATGCGGGACAACAGGAGCCCCAAGCCGGCAGTGCTGTTACCCAGGGTGAGGGAGGACCCTTCCCCCACATCTCCTGATTTGCAGTGTACCAGAGACAGCACTGCTTAGGCCCCCAGACCTGCCCCCCCCCAGCCTCAGAGGGCAGACCCTGAGTACTCACGTTCCCCAGGCTGAAGTCACCCCCTGGCCGGTGGTAAGGGTGCTGCATGTGTCCACTGGACCCAGAGGGGTATGGAGGCCCATAATGAGGCTGCCTGCCTGGGGGCTGCCCACCTGAGGGCTGCACTAAGCAGGCCTGAGAGGGCAGCCCTGGCTGCTGTGGAGGCTTTGGGTTGGGGGGCTGGGTAGGGAGAACCAGGCTTGGGGGACTGTATGGGTATGGGGGCAGCCGCTGGTCAGTAGGCAGTTTACTGGTGTCCAAGGGGACGCCCTGAAAAGCAGGGAGGAAAAAGGGGGCCACTTAGTCTTCAGTGTGCTCCCCTAAGAAGAACTCTTAATCAGGCTCCCCACCCTTTAAGCTGCATCCATTCTAAACACAAACACAACACAATCCCATTGCCCCAGCCCTGGGGCTGGCAGCAGTCACTAAACAGTGCTGAGTGAGGACAGCGAAGGGGAAACAGATCCACTCCAGCCATGGTCGTCGTCAACTGTGGGACCTAGGCAGTGGCCAGTGACAAACACTGGTGCCTGCTAGAGCCACAGGGCAGCCAGGGGCTGCTGTCCCAAAGCCCTGAAGAGGCCAGTGGGAATGGGAGAGGAAGGAAGGGAAGTAGGAAAAGAGGGAGGAAGTTCCTTTAGTCCAGGCTCTGGGGAAGCAGACTACGGACTGGCCTGGCCTCAGTCTTCCCTGCAGCAGAGGATAAAATGGAACACAGAGCACACATTCCAGGAACAGGATGGAGGAGGAGCAGGAGGAGAAAGCAGGGCATCAGGACGAAGAACATGAGGGTCGAGGGGAATGAGAAAGGAAATTGTAGGAAAAAAAGGAAAAAAACTTGAGAAGAAAAAAAGGATAGGGAAGAAGAAAAGATCTAAGAATTTTAGCATTCAGGAAGATGCCCCTAAAGTTGAAAGGTTTGGAGTTCCAACCCCAACTCTTCCAAACTTGCTGTGTAAACTCTGGAAGATAATTTTCCTCCTGGACCTGTTTCCTCATATAAACCATACAGGGGAGGCTGGGGATTTAGCTCAGCGGCACAGTGCCTGCCTGGCAAGCGCAAGGTCGTGAGTTCGATTCCTGATACCGGCGGAAAAATAAATAAATAAACAAACTATACAGGGGTTGGGCTCCATGGTCTGAGAATCTCTGACACTATGAATTCTATCAAAGAAGGAGGGGAAGTAGGAGACAAGATGGGACAGGACAGAGGCCCAGGGATAAAAATCAAGACAAGAAAAGACAGGAACCCAAGAATGGTGGTGCACGCCTACAATCCTATCACAACAGGAGGCTGGGGCAGGAGGATCAGAAGATCAGGAAAACTTAGTGACTTAGAATCTATCTCAAAAAACAAAATAAAACAAATAAAAAATGGTTGAAGGGAGAGTAGGGGAATGGAAAAAGAAAAGAATCAAGTTATATCATGTATAGGTACAAATTCTCTATGATGAATGTGATCATTGTGTATATTTTAAATGTACCAACAAAATCTGATTGAAGAAAAACAAACAAACAAAAAAACCGGCTGGGCATAGTGGTTCACACCTGTAATACCAACACTAGGGAGGCTGAGGCAGTAGGATCACTGTGAGTTCAAGGCCAGCCTGGGCTACACAGCCAACTGAAGGCAGCCTGAACTACATAGTGAAACACTATCTTGGGGAGGGGCGGGGCAAAAAGAATAAAGTTTCAATCCTCACCACCACCAAAAAAAAAAAGAAAGAAAGGAAGACGAAAGAAAGACAAAAGAAAAAGGATAAACTGCTGTCTACTAAGCATGCGCCTATGCTAAGCATGGTGCTAGGTACCTATTTTTGCAGTTTGTAAAAGGTGAAAGATTTATACGATCTGAGGAAAAACCAGAGTATTTATTTTTGCAGTTTGAACCTAGTGTCCACTAAGCTACATCTCCAGGATCTTCCCCGCTTTTGAAACAGGGACACAATAAATTGCCTAGACTGGACTCACACTTGAGATCCTTCTGCCTCAGCCTCCCAGAGTTGCAGGGATTATAGACATGTGCCACTACACCTACCTTCTAAATACTTTTATGTATATTATTGCACTGGATACCTACAACACTTTCCTTGTTTTATAAATGAGACTACTGAGGCTCACAGAAGTCAAATAACTTTTTAAAAAAGATGGCCAGGATGAGGCAGGGACAAGATTTTAAACAGGACAGCTTAACTGTAGGGTTTGCACACATAAGCAAAGGAGACAAGATGGACACAAGGCGGAGCAGGTGGAGGACAGAGGACTGATAGGGGCTGGGTGAGACGAGGGGTGCAGGAAGTAAGGGGGAGAAGTGTTTGAGGAAAAGAGAGAACAGGGCAGGAGCGGGGGCGGGAGACAGACACAGGGAGGGCAGCCACGCATACCTGAGTGATGGAAGACAAGGTGGGTGACATTGTTGGCGAAAACTGTTTGGGCAGCTGCTGTTGGGACCTTCTGGCGTCCACAGGGCCCGCGGGCAAACTCAGGGGGCTGAGGGGCACTCGGCGGTGGCGGGGGGAGGCCCCAGGGGCAGAAGCTGGGTAAGGGGGGGTGCCCAGGATGGGAGAGGAAGTGGAAGAGGAAATGGAGGAAGAGAGGGCCGGGGCACTGAGTGACGGGTGACCCAGGGAGGTGGCAGGCAGTGGGTGGCGGGCCAGGGAGGAGGCGGGCAGGGAGGGGTGACTGTGGGAGCCCTGGAGCTGGGGCTGGGGACTGCTCAGGGAAGCCTGGAGGTTGGGATTGCTCAGGGAGGACTGCAGGGAGGGGTGGTTGAGAGGTGAATGGAGTCCTGCAGGCACAGACAAAAACCAGAGATGCCAACATTACAGATGAGAAGGGGGCCCCTCTCTGCCCAGAAGGGGCAGTAGAAAGCAGACCATGGAGGTGGCAACACGATGTCCTCCCTACTCTGTCCCTGACAGCAAGACTGCCCACCTGGCGGCTGCTTTCCATCTGCCCTCGGAAAAGCCACACCTACCAGTTCCCACAGGCTGAGAATGGCAAGGAGGGGCTCCTGGGACCCCGGGCTGGTGGCCGGTGCCAGTCACAGGATCCAGTGGCAGGATCCTGGCTCAAGCTTCCCTCCCCTTCTTCAGCTGGAGAGCACACGGCCAGGACAGCCACTCACCCGGCGCACTGTAGCCGGGGCCCAGGCCCAGACCTCCGCTGATGCCCAGGTGGGTCATGGTGTGGGTCAGGTTGGAGGTGCTGCTACCCCCACTCAGGCTGGGGTACGCTGTCTCCTCAGGGTCCAGGGGGGTGGGCAGCGGTGGGGGGAAGTGCAGGTTGGTGAGGTCAGGCAGGGAGCCCCCCGTGCTCATGGCAGGTGGGAGGACAGGCACACTGGCAGGCTGGTCAGGAGACGGGAAGATGCTGGAGGGAGGGCAGAGAAAGACAGAAGCAAATGCCAGGGAGTGGTGGGTGGAGAGAGCAGAGATGGAGCTTCCTCATCTCCTCAGACTTCCCATCCCCACTTCTGAGCCAGCCTTGCAGGAACACTTACTTAATTCCAGGGACTTCGCAGGACCGAGGTCGGGAGGAGGAGGAGGACAGCTGAGAAGAGAAGGAACAATGCAGAAGCGAGGGCAGAGCTCCATGGGCACTGGGGAGGCACGAGGGGCATGGGGGGAGGGGCCCGCCTACCTTCTTGGCATCCCACGGTTTCAGCAGATACTTGTCATCGAGCAGGTTCTCCTCCATGGCAGGGACTTGAAATGGAAAGACTGGTGAGGGGGAGGCTGGAACGGGGGTCCGGGGGACAGGACTGGAAGCAGAGGCAGACGGGGGGAGCCCTGTTCCCACGACAGCCCAGAACCCTGCAGGCAGGCAGGGCCCACGGGAGGTGAACAGCACATACCCTTGGCGTCCATTTCGCCATCCAGAAAACCTGCGGGGAGGAGCGGAGCTGGCTGTGGTGCCCGCTTGCCTTCCACAGGCACCCCAGCCAGAGAACTCGGCCACTCACCCCCGCGGCGGCTGGGCAGGACACTGGGTGGTGCGGGGCCTGGATAAGTGTCCTGGGAGCTGGGGTTCATCACACTTGTGTGAAGGGCAGAGTCAGAGCTCGTCCTGTAGGGAGCAGATATGAACTGGCAGCAGTGACAGTCCTCTAAGTCTCCAAGCCTGCCTGGCTGTGTCAGAATTGGGTGTGGATGAGACAGTAGCGCCCCAAAAAGTAGGGATGAGAAGAGACAGGCCTAAAGAAGGCAAGCGCCTCACCTGTTAAGTGCTGAGGGCAGTCGAAACAGCTGTCCTTTCTCTGCAGGGAAATTGCCCCAGGGCATTGTCCTGGGGTAGAAAACAAAGTCATTACACAATGGAGTACTAACTCTACCATAAAGAAGGGTAAGTCTTTTTTTTTTTGTCTTTTTGAGGCAGGGTCTTGCTATGCAGTTCAGGCTGGACTTGAGCTCACTTTGTAGCCTAGGCTGGCCTCAAACTCATAGCAATCCTCCTGCCTCAGCCTCCCAAGTGTGGGATTACAGGCGTGCGCCACCATGCCCAGCAAGAAGGATAAGTCTTAAGTCTAAGTCATCTGTAGGAAAATGGATGTACCTTGAGACCGTAATATTAAGTAAAATGAATCAGACACACAAGCTGAAATATGGCACGGTTTCTCTTATATGTGAAGCCTAAACAATAAATAATTTAAAGAGCAAAGTGGAACACTGGGAATACAGCTCAGCGGCACAGCACCTGCCTAGCAAGCTCAAGGTCGTGAGTTTGATTTCCAGTACAAAAAAAAAAGCAAAGTGGAAGACAGACAATAGGAAACAGGGAGATAGGTCTTTTGCAAATGGGTTGTTTTATATGTTTTTTGTTATTGTTGTTTTTGAGACAAGATCTCACTTTGTCGTTTAGGCTGGCCTTGAACTCACTACGTGGTCCAGGCTGGCCTTGAACTCATAGGGATCCTTCTGCCTCAGCCTCCTGAGTGCTACTGGGAAGGGGACCAAGAGATAAAGTAGGAGGGGAAAAGAGGAAGTAAGAACAGTTAAGCTGTGCTAGGTACATGCACTGACTCCCCACAATGAATACAACCATTATATGCTCCAAACATGTACTGCTAAAAACTTAAAAGGAAGAAAGTCAAGTCGAGAGGAAGAGAAAGGCTGGCAATGGGCAAATAGGCAGCATGGGGGTTGGGACAGCCAAAGGGAAGGTCGAGAGGCAGGGCATCAAGGATCAAGCCTTTTCCTTTCGTGTCTTCTGATGCTACACCCACACATCTCCTTCCCCAGGCAAAGAGATCTAGAAAGGCTGCAAGTCCTCTGTGCCAGGACAAGCTGATGGGAATGTGGAAGCCCAGCAGCTCTGCTGGATAAGAAAGAATCCTGGGGCTCAGATGGATGGGGGTCAGACAGCCAAGAGTATCCCGGTACTCACCCCTGGCACCCACCCTGGCAGTGGGCAACAGTTCTCCCCTGCCACCCTCCCCCACCCCTCCTCCTCCACACGCCCCAGTTTGGCTATAGTTCCATTGGCCTTACTCTGGCTGGACTGGGCGGCTGGGCCACTCGTGTCAACATAGCCCAGACTGGACTCTGACCACCTACTCCACTGCCATAGGAGGCCCTGTGTCCCAGCCTCTGCCCCATCCCCTACAGAGTACGGCAGAGTGGCTAGGAGACTCGCCTGCCCCGGACTCACCTTCGCCAGCTGGACTCCGGGGGAGGAGACAAGTAGGCAGGGCTGTAGGGAGAACTGTCGATGTGAACAGCACACGTTAAGGAAAAAAGTGCAGAGGAGATGGGTGGCATAGAGACCAGATGAAAAGACTAATGGGGCCAGAAGACGGTTATCTCAAGAAACACCACCAGAGCTGGAGGTGCGATCCCAGCTACTTGGAAGGCTGAAGCAGGAGGATCACAAATTCAACCCTAACCTGGGTAACTTAGGGAGACCATGTCTCAAAATAAAACTAATGTTAAAAAGAGCTGGAGATGTAGCTCAGTTAGCAAAACAACTGGATTCAGTCCTTAATACAAGAATGAAAAAACAAGGAAGGAAACACATACCTTTCTCCTCTACAAGGCACAACAGTAAGGTTAAGAATAGAAGAAAAACGACTAGAGGTGTAGCTCAGTGGTAGAGTGCTTGCCTAACATGCACCAGGCCCCGGGTTCCAGCCCTATCACCACACAGTCAAAAAAAGCCAATGGAATTAGACTGGGAACAATCTATGAGACTGGGCAGGGCTTAGGCGCCACAAATGTGTAAATTTCTGAGATTAAATGCTGACAACAAGTCAGGTAGGGTGGTGCACACCTGTAATCCCAGCACTTAGGAGGCTGAGACAGGAGGATTGCCATGAGCTCGAGGCGAGACTGGGCTACATAGTGAGTTCAAGATCAGCCTCAACTACACAGTGAGACCCCGTCTCAAAAACAACAACAATAACAAAAATTAAAAATAAAAACAGGGCCTGGGGATGTAGCTCAGTGCGAAGGCCCTGGATTCAATACCCAACACTTGACCATAAAAAGAAAAAGGGGTTGGGGGAAGAAAGCTAATAACCAATGTGAGAAGGGATCACAGTTCACTCAACAGGAGACAACTGGAGAGCCCTGCCCGTACAGGAAAGTAAGCTAAAGTAACGTCAGCCAGGACCAGCCAGAGGGGGAGGGCGCAGCCTCAGGGGCAACGATTCCGTCACGGCAGCCAGCACAGACACACAGGTTACAGCCACTTTCCTGGGAGCCTGATAAAGGTGAGCTAGTGGAAAAGGATGGAACTGGGTGACATTTTGAGTCCCTGGAGAACCCCTCCCTGCCCCCGGCGCAGCTCCCACAACCTCTAGGAAGGATATGTGGCGGGGGTATCGGCGGAGTGGGGACACCATCCTTCGGGGGTCTCTCTGCACCCGTTCCACCAACCCATGGTGCCGAGTGCTCCGCGATGAATCCAAAGGTGAGTGGAGGGGGCTCTGCCAAAGTGACAGGTCAGTCAGCGGGGAAAGCCACCCGAGAGCCTCTGCCCAACCCAGGCTCGTGTCCACTCACCTGGAACTCGGCGAGGCCACAGCCAATCTGGTTAACATTGGGCAGAGAACCACCGTAATGGGAGCTCCTTGTGTATGCCAGCCGCAGTTTTTGGGCCTGCAACTGAGACATGAGAGACAAATGGGAATATCAGAGAGGGTTCTAAGCCCCATTCCTTTGGCCATCCTTGCCATTCCTGGCAACAGGATGTCCTGCTCCTGCTTTTAAGGTATCTGACGGAAAAAAAAAGCCAGGCTCAGACTAAAGATCCACCAAGACCTGGTGCAAACCACTCACCCAGCCCCTTGGCAGCCCCTCCTTGCATCTGTGAGCTCACGAGCGCCTGACAGCACCCTGCCAGGCAGGGCTCAGCACTGCTCAGGCCCTGCCTCAGGCAGCATCAGTCTAAGCTGTCCCTAGGGCCACCAGAGGCTAGCCACAGGGACAGGTGCCCTGGGCAGTTCTGCTTTCAGTTCCAAATGTGCCCAGCACAAATTAGAAGAGCTCCATCACTGCCAGCCTCCCCGCTTCACACTCTGGACAGCGTAGGTTTCTCAGGAAGATTCCACAAAGCCTGCACCTCTCAAACCAGAAGACCCAAGGCACGGAGGCTTTCCCAGCTAAAAAAGTGGTACCAGCAGGGCGTGGTGGTGCACACTTATATCCCGCACTTGGGAGGCTAGGCAGGAGGACTGTTATGAGTTCGAGGCCAGCCTGGGCTACAGAGTTCAAGACCACCCTGAACTGCACAGTCACATGCTGTCTCAAAAAGACCAAAAAAAAAAAAAAAAAAAAAAATGTGGTGCCAAAACCAAGCGGCATTTTCTCCAAGATGCTAAAGCCCTTGAGATAGCAGGGAAGCCTGGAGAATGGGGGCAGGGGAGAGGACAGAAGCCCACTCCAGGCTGGGCCAGAGCCACCCCCTGGCCTCATTCCTGTTTACAAGAGACATGTCCAGCACAGAAGCAAGGCACAAACCCTCAGCCTAACACGAGTTTGTCTGCAGCTCTCTTGTCCCTGATGAGAGGTGAGTAGCTACTTCCAAGGTTCAGCCACTATCAGAAGCCAAACAGACCCAGGCCAAGGCCGGTGAGGAGGACAGCTGAGGAGGGGTAAGTTCTGAGTTTCCAAGGTCACAATGTTGCACATAAGCCAACATCAGACGTGCCTTTCTGTTCCAGTAAGTCAGCTCAGTGAGTTCAGTGGCCACTGGCCTCTGGACCACTTCACAACTACTGTTAATATTATACATATGGCAACCCCAACTTTCCAAAGGTATAGGCTCCTATGGCCATTTCTTTCTTTCTTTTGTCTTCGTCTTTTTGAGACAGGCTCTCACTCTGCAGTTCAGGCTGGCCTTGAGCTCACTTTGCAGCCCAAGCTGGTCTCAAACTCACAACCATCCTCCTGCCTCAGCCTCCCAAGTGCTGGAACTACAGGTGTGCACCACCATGCCTGGCACTCCTATGGCCATTTCTGCCTCAAATGATCCCTCCTAGCTGGCCATGCCACAGGCTGAGCTTCCGGTCTTTCATCTCCAGCTAAGATTTTTGGAGTCCCAAGCCCGGCCAGGTATATCTACTACGCTTTTCTGTATTGAGAGAAGTTACGCAGTAGAGAAAAGGTAAGGGCTACCAAAAGAGGCTTTTCCAAAAACCAAGACACCATAAAGATAGAAACTTTGAGTTTCTCACAGTCTTTGTCGTTTTGCACATACAAGCCCTCAGGATCACATCATGCCCCTGCTAAAATCATAGTCCAGAGGGCAGGCCCTCAAACTGTCAGCTGGAGAGTGGCCTCTATTCCATCTTCTTGTCTCTGTCCCACCACGATCAAAAGCTTCCAAAGGGAACAGTTAATAGATCACAATCCTCATGGTGGTTAGATCGGGTTATGAGTATGCGCGTACACACACACACACACACACACACACACACACACGCGTGCGCGCACGCGCGCGCGCACACGCCTCCCCACCTATCTTTTTCTATTCTGACTCCTACAAACTAGGGCACATGTTCCCTAGAGACTCCAAGGAGAAAAATACAAAAAAAGACTAACAGAATCAAGGGAGATACACACAAAAACTCAACCAGAATTACAGTCATAGATACAGTCAGTCAGCCCAGCAGAAAGAACCCTGAAATGTATTTATGTTCCACCATCTCCTCTTGAATTCCTCCCAACTCGTTGCCATGAAGGATCACTGCAATATCCTCACCTGCTGTTGTGAGAATAATGTGTCCCTAAATTACAACTGCCTACTTGCTGAGCAAACTCCTGCCCTGGCTCCCTCCGACAACCAGTTCTGGGAAGCAAAAAATCAAGGGTAGACGGGCTTCAGGGGCAGCTTGACAGTGCCCTGAAAGTTCTTTATGTAATTTCCTAGGTATGAATATGCCCGACACACAAAGGAGCCTCCAAGACACTCCTGAAATCGACATACAAAGCATCCATCTCCCTAGAAGGCTCAGCACACTTGCATATAGGTTAACCGAACAACCTGTAGCAAACTACCCAGTTGTGATTCGAAGCTCTACCTTTCCTTCAAGGCTGCCAGGACTAAACACCAAGTACCAGTGTGTGTGCAATGGACCTCACCTTCACGTCAGGAAACCACAGAAGTATTTGAAAAAGGAAGCAGAGGGACAGGACGCAGGAGGGGACTTCCTGGCCCGCTATACCCAGCACTGCTCCTTCAAACCACTCAAGAGGCCCTTTCCCGTGGGTACCAAAGCGCCAAGCGTCTCCTGATAGCACAGAGGAACCAGTCTGGAGAAGATCACAAATCCAAGGGCGGTGAGGGACAAGGAAGGCATCCTCCCCAGCCCACAGCCCTCGATTAGGGATGCTTCATTGCAGTCCTCCAGGGTACTCCGCCAGGGATGCAAAGGGACCACCCATCCCCGCCAGACTTCAGGGCCCATTCTCCTCTCGGCCCACTCCTGCCGCACGGACTCAGCCCCCAAACCCAATCTCTCCGGAGTTTCGGTCTTCCCGGCAGAATCCGCCTTCCTGCCCCGGCTCCCGACCCGCGCCTCGCAGACGGCGGCGCCCACCGGCCCTGCCCGTTCCGCCTCCTGGCCGCGGCCCCCGCCCTCGCCCCGCCTCCACACCCTGCTACCCGGCGCGGCCCCTCACCCGGGTGGAGCCGATGTCCATCATCACCTCCTCGAAGGCCGCCGTCTCTTCGGCCTGACGCTGCTTCTGCAGCGCGATCTTCTCGCTAAACTTGCGCGGATTGGAAGACGAGGCCGCGGCTGAGCCAGGCCCGTTTGCCCCCGACGTCGCCATCTTCCTCCCGCGTCCCTCCCCGCCACCTTCCCAGGACAGGCCACGGCCTCCGCCGCGGGCCCCAGTGCGGCTCCCCCAGCCGTAGCCGCCGCGGCCTCCGCGAGCCCCGCGGCCCGGCCCCAACCTAGCCCGGACCCGTGGCGCGCGGCCCGCCGGGACCCGTAGTTTGTTTACGCGACTCCCTCACGTCCGCGGGCACGCAATGCGGGGAGGAAGCGGACTCCACTTCCCGGCAGCCTCGTGAGCCGGGACTCTCCCCGCCCCAAGCCCACTCCCCGCGCGAGGCAGGCTGGGAGTAGTAGTTCCAAATCCGCGCTAAACCGACGAACGGGAAGGGGCAAGGGATTAGGAGAGGAGAGGAAGAGGGAGGGAATGAAGGGGAAGGGAAGGGGTGGAGACAGGTACCAAAGAAGGAAGAGACAAAGGAGGAAAAATTTGGTCATCTTCAGGAAAGGGCACTGATGGGGCCGAGTGAAAACAGTGAAATGAAGGCTCTTGAAACAGCGGTGAACATCTGGGACTCAAGTCCTCTCTGGCTGGCAATGTTCCCACCCCTGTCCTAAGACAAATGAAGCCAATACCGTAGAAATGCATAGAAACATGTTTTATTTGGCTAATATGTCCCAAAACAGGTCAGTTAGTAAAATAGATTCTAAAGAATATGGCCTATACACAGCCCTCCCTCCCCAAAAATATCCCCGGGGGTGGTCACTTCTCTCCCCTTGGACTCATCAGGTATAAAAAAGTTTGGCAGCTTTGTGTTTACCATCTGGGTATGGGCTACCATATCCACGTCCCTCCCCTATTCCTAGGATGCAGCAGAAGTAGGTGGTCGCAGGTCTTCCCTCAAGCCAGCCCAGCCAAAAAAAATTTTTTTTCCTTTTTTTGTCTTTTTGAGACAGTCTTGCTATGCAGTTCAGGCTGGCCTTGAGTTCACTTTGTAGCCCAGGCTCGTCTCGAACTTGCAATGATCCTCCTGCCTCAGCCTCCCCAGTGCTGGAATTATAGGCATGCTCCACCATGCCCAGCCCAGCCAAAATTTTTGCCCCACCCAAAATATGGAACCCAAACAAAAAGCAAGTAGGTCCCCTCCACTGAGGTGTTGAGCAGGGCCCACTGCCACATCTCTGTGCTTTGAGAAAAGGGGGATTCGTTTGGCACTTCAAAAACAGAGTGAGCAGAGCAGGGCGTGGTGGAGCACACCTGTAATCCCAGCACTCAGGAGGCTGAGGCAGGAGAATCGTTCCAAGTTTGAGATCAGCCTAGGCTACAAAGTGAGCTCAAGGCCACCCTGAACTGCATAGTGAGACCCTGTCTGAAAAAGACAAAAAAAAAAAAAAAAAAAAAAAAGAGTAAGCAGGACTCAGGAAGTCAGAGAAGGTATCAAAATTGGCAAGGAGACCATTTGGCACTAGTGCCCCTGGGAGAAGAGAAGGAGGTATGTATAGAAGGTAAGAAAAGTAGGAAGGGTCCACTGCAAGTGACAGGGTGCCAGCATAGGCTAGAACCAACAGGATGCTAACTCTGGGCCCTGCCCGCTCCACATTTTTATTCCACAGTGGCTGGGTGCCCACCCACCTCCAGCCTCCCCACTGTCAGTTTGTCCCTGTGAGTAATGTGTGACCTCTGACCCTGCCAGCCAGGATCTGCTTCAATGCTAATGTGCCCTGATCAAGCCTTCGGTGACTTGGCTAGCTCCCCTTGCTTGGGCCTGGGGTCAGCCACTTTTCTGCCCACTTCTCTCCCTTAGACATCATCTGAAAGGCTCCATTCCTTTCTCCCAGAGAACTCTTTGTCTTCATACCTCCCTTCCTCATTCTTCCCTGTTCTCCACACACTGAGAGAGGGAAGGCAAGAAGCACCTGGCAGGCAACCTCCCCTGCCCTCTAAATTGAAGGGCCCTAAATGTGGATGAAGAGTAGGCCAGTAAGCACAGCAAAACCTGCTAGGAGCAGAATGACCTTGAGGATCCTCTGCTCAGAAGAGGCCAGCTCCTGGGGCAGGATTTCCAGGAAAGTGATATAAAGGAAGGTGCCAGCTGCCATGCCCTCCAGCACAGACTGGGCCAACTGGTGCAGAGGCCCAGCGGACTCTGCCAGAGCAGCACCCAGCCCAATGCCCAGAGGTGTCATGCACGAGAAGAAGATTCCACAGCCAGCCACCACCTGCACACGGAGGTGGCTCTGCAGCAACCTCAGGGACAGGCTGACGGCCAGGATACCCTTGTGCAGCAGCAAAGCCAGGCACAGCTCCATGGCCCGAGCCCGGTCTCGCTGCAGTCCCACTGCCAGCCCCTCAAACACCGAGTGCAGGGCCAGGGAGAAGACCAGTACACAGGCGCGCAGAGCTGAAGGGGCTACTGGAGCTCCTCTTGCGTGGGGGACCCCCAGCCCATCATGCCAGTGCTGCGGCCCTCCATTCACTGTTCCCAGCAGGGCCCTTGTCTCCTCCCGACGTGGCGGCCCGGACTGCTCCTTGTAAGCCAGTGTGATCTGCTCCATCACCAGGACCAAGAAGAAGCCCATGGCCAGGATGAATTCTTGCAGGGGGAACTGGAGCTGTGGGCAGAGTTGGCAGCTAAGTGTCTGGTGACAGGACAAGATCTGATGGAGACCCAGTTACACATGTCTCACACAGAGATATTCTTGGTCACACAACAATGAAGTGACTTGGTCAGAGACACAGAAGGGACACGCAATCACACAGGTTATGGCGTCACACACAACGCTACATGAAAACCAAAGTGGCTCAGCTTTGGCCCCGTTAACATTTGGGGCCAGACCATTCTTTGTCAGAGAGCTACAGTATACACTGTAGGTTATACAGTGGCATCTCTGACCTTTACCCATATGATGCCAGGAACAAGTACAACAATACCCCTTCCCTAACCATGTTGTGACAACCAAAAATGTTTCCAGAAATTATCAAATGTTTCCTGGGTGCAAAACCACCCCAGTTGAGGGTTACTGATATAGAGACACCTAAGTGTCACATATAGGCATGAGAAATCAGGGTCACACATGGGCCCATTTTCCCAAATGCTCACACACAGAGCCACGTAATGTCACTGGGACAGAGCCACACTGTCATGGGACATTCATACAAAGGGGACAGCTCACTCAGTCACTGATACACAGAGGGTTATAACCCATGTTACTTCCTCAGTCTTGGGGAAAAAGTAACAGCAAGTTCAAGTTTGGGATGACTTCCCTACACCACTACCCACCTGTCTCAGCTTTTCTTACAGTGAGAATTCCTACACGTTAGGCTTCATCACTGCCCACATCCCACTTCCTTGGGCTAAAGCCTTTTTGGTCAGCAACACCAAGTCCCTGGGAATCTCCCCCGTCCTTCCCAGGCCTGCAATGAACTTTATCTCCAGCTCTTCAACAAGTGCTAAGGGGTCAGGCGCGGTGGCGCATGTCTGTAATCCCAGCACTGGGGAGGCTGAGGCAGGAGGATCATTGAGAGTTTGAGATCAGCCTGGGCTACAAACAGCTCCAGCCCAGCCTGAACTGCATAGAGAGACCCTGTCTCAAAAAAGCCAGAAAAAAAAAAAAAAAAAAAGGACAAAAACAAGTGCTAAGGGGATGAGAGATTCTTGGAACACTGTTAACATCCTGGTGACCGGAATGGAGCAGAAGCGCAGAGTAGATTATACACCTTGTGGGTTTCCTCAGTGTCTCAAGAGGTACACTGTGGCCACTCAGAGACTGGAGTTGGGGCAAGGAACAGAAAGCATTCTGCCCTGTAACTAAAGATTACAGTTAACAGTGCCATACGCCAAGGGCCTTTCCTAGTTGCGGAGTTACCAGATCTGAGGAGCTATGTGTGCAACTGACACGACCCCACCCCCCGGGGTCACATGCTGGGACCAGTGCTCACAGTCACGTGCAGGGCCGCCAGGGCCTCATCTATGGCAGCCAGGTAGTCGGGCAACAGGTCCAGAAGACAGGTGGCCAAAAAGACACCTCCAGCGAAGCAGCTTACTAGGCTCAGGAATTTCTGACGGGAAGCTGGGCAAGAACGCAACACAGCAAATGAACCCCCGGACCCTGACCCAAGCAAAGGCTATTCCTGTCCTCTCCTCCTCCTCCTTAGGTCTCCTCCCCCAGGTGCAGAGGACCTCCCTATCCCAGGAATCCCCAGAGGCAGGAAAGAGTGGCCTCACCGGAGCCTTCAGGGTCATGATTAGCTCCAGGCCGCCGCAGCACACAGATGGGCACCAGGCTGCAGAGAAGGGTGAGGACCAGCAGCAGCACCAGGGCCCCCAGCTTCACCTCCAGCCCCACGGGCACTGGAGGCTCTGAAGCCACCGCTTCTGGGCGCCACACCAGGAACTCGGGTTCTCCCCAGGGCCCCATGGTGGCTGTGGTAGCTCCAGGGATTCTCAGACCTAGGAAGGAGGGAGAGGTTGTCACGCAGGAAGACGGGGAAGGACGGTCAGCAGAGTGCAGTTCCCCACCCCAGCCGCTCTCTGGCTTCCCCAGTGGGGGTGACTCATCCACTCCCATACCAGGAACATTCCTATTTCTCAGACTTTATCTTTCCCAAACAACCTGTTCAGGGAGCCAAGAAGGTGGAAACTGAGCAGTGAGGCTAGTGTGGGTGTCTCGTCACCTTTCCACTCCGAGCCTCCGGGGAACTAGAGCAGCCTCCAAACAGGATCTGGAGCTGGAGTCCCCCAGGCACGCAGGAGTCAAGCCCCTTCACTTGGGCACAAGCGGCTTCAGCGAAGGGTGTCGGGCTGGGAGAGTGCTTCGTGGACCACTTGAGCAGGCCGAGCGTGGGTGCCACGTCTTCTCCCCTCCCCTCGCCCACGCCGGGCCCGGGAAAGCGAAGAGCAGGCGAGCGCCCCGCATCGGGGCCGACGACCCGCAGATTCGGGTCCGGGGGTCCCGGGTGTGGACGGGACGACACTGCGGGCGGGGTCTGCAACTCCGGACTGCGGGAGGCGGGGTCGGAGGGGGCCAGCGTCCAGAAAAGCAGACGAAGAACGCGAAAGCTGGAACCCGGCTCCTACGCCCGGCTCCCGAGAACCCGCACTCACCTCGCCTGGGGCTCGCTCCATGGTGTCCGCTCTTTTCCGGCTCCGCGTCGGGAATTCCCGCCCCCTCCCCTTGGCACCCGCTCCCCTGCGGCCGTCGCGTACCCCAGCCATCGGCCAATGACCGTGCCGGTGGGCGGATCCAAGCTGGAAGTGACGTGGTCCAGGGGCAATCAGAGGCGTGGAGCAGGAGAGGGCGGGGCAGGCGGCGGGGAGAGTCGAGCTCAGCCTGCGAGGAGACCCGGGTGAAGACCTGGGGGCTGCGGGCCGGATGCAGTAGTGAAGTTTCACGGGCTTAGTTGGCCCGGCGACCAAACCCGCGAGATCGAACGGAGAAATAAAAAGTGGGAGCTGGAAGCTCCGCAGGCGGGGTGTCCCTCCTTGCCCCATCCTACCCCAAACTCCCGACCCTAAGACCCTACCGGTGCGCTCCCTTCTCGGGACACATCGCCCACACCCACGATCAGGAAGGCTTCAAGTAATCCCAGCACTCGAGAGGCTGAGGCAGGAGGATCACTTCGAGTTCGAGGCTATCCCGGGCTGTATAGTGAATTCAAAGCCAGTCTGGATCCTGTCTCAAAAAAAGAGTAATGCTTCAGATAATGCTCTAGAAATGGAGGCCGGCAGCTTCTCTAAGTGAAGGAGAATGTGCAGATTTGGAGAGCAAGGAAGTTTAGGAGAAAGAGCGCATAGGACAGAGCAGGGTGTAAGTGAAATAGGCCATCATTTACTAATTAATAATTGCTTTTTTAAGGGGCTGGGGTTTAGCTCACGGCACAGCGCCTGCCTGGCAAGGGCGAGGTCGTGAGTTTGATTCCCGGTACCAGAAAAAAAAAAAAAAAAAAAAAAAAGATCCTCCCTAATAATGGCTTTTTTAAACTTTTTTTTCTTTTTGTGGTACCGAGGATCGAACTCATGACCTCATGCTTGCTAGGCAGGCACTGTGCCACTGAGCTATATCCCAGCCCCTAAACTTTTTTTTTGAGACAGGGTCTATCCTTCTGCTTCAGCACCTCATAGTGCTGGGGTTCCGGGCATGCACCACCACACCTGGCTCTGAACTATTTTATTTTATTTTTTTACTTGAGACAAGGTCTTGCTATGTAGCTCAGGGTGGCCTTCAAGCAATCCTCCTGCCTAAACCTCCTGAATCCTGGAATCACAGGCATGTGGCACCACACCCAGTGAAACTCATCGTTAATTTTAAAAATAAAAAATTGAACATAGTGGCATACACTTAAATCCCAAATGCTTGGGAGGTTAAGGGAAGAAGATCAGAAGTTTGAGCCCAGCCTGAGGGGTTTAGTGATTTAGCCAGACCTGCTAAAAAGAGGGCAAAGGGTCTGGGAATGTAGCTGAGTGAAAAGACTTTGGGTTCAATCCCTGGTAATGCCAACAAGAGCAACAAGTTATTTTCCCTCTGTGGAGCTTTCAATTCAGGGGAAGGAGTTAAACTAGCGCGTGATGGCCAAGATTTTCCAATTTTAACATTAGGGGAAGCTGACTGCACCTTCCACTTAATCATTTCTACCCAGACAGCTACAGAAAACCACTTGAAATACATTTCACCACCTTTCTTGCTCTCAGAAGGAGAGCACAAAAACACCCCAGGCATCCAAATTTTGGTTCAGCTACTTCGAGTTTTATATGATTTATATGAGATTACAAGATTTATATGAGAGCGTAACCTACTCAGGACCCCTTCTGTCTCTCAGGAGCTGTTTCTATTCTCCATTCCCACATTCTGATTCCCCATTCCTTTTCTTCAATAAATATTCCTACCCTTAAAAAAAAGATTTAAACCGGGCCTGGTGGCACATGCCTGTAATCCCAGCACTTGGGAGGCTGAGGCAGGAGGATTATTGTGAATTCGAGACCAGCCTGGGCTACAAAGTGAGCTCAAGGCCAGCCTGAACTGCGTAGTGAGACCCACTATAAATAAATAAAGTGTACATCCTTCAGCTATTTGGTGGGCTTTCGGATGTATATATCCTATACATATCCTTGATGGCCGGGGCAGTTTTGCCCGCATTCTCAAAGTGCACAAAAAGATCTGAACCTCCTTTTTTTGTACTAGGAGTCAAACTTACAATGTCATGCTTGCCAGGCAGGTGCTATGCAGCTGACCTATATGTCCAGCCCTGTTTTGTTTTAGTTTTTGTTGGCGTGGGGGTTTCCTTTTTTTTTTTGAGACAGGGTTTCACTATGAAGTTCAGGCTGGACTTCAACTCACTTTGTAGCCCAGGCTGGCCTCAAACTCACAGCAATTCTCCTGCCTCAGCTTCCTGAGTGCTGGGATTACAGGCATGTGCCACCACATCCAGGCTGTTTTGGTTTTTTGGAGACAGGGTCTCACTATGTAGCACAGGCTGATCTCAAACTCATGGTGATCCTCTTGCCTCAGCCTCTCAAGTGCTGGGATTATTGGTGTGTGCCACCATGCCTGGTTTGAACCTCTTGATTTGCATGATTTTATTGGGTTTTCTGGGTCAAGAGAATAATAAACCATTTTCACAAGTTCTTTTTTTATTGTTTATTTATTTATTTATTATTATGTACTCCAGGCAGGTCTTGAACATTAATCCTCCTGCCTCAGCCTCATAAGTGCTGGGGCTACAGGTGTGCACTGCAAGATCAGTTGCAGTTTGAATTCTGGTTCCACACCCTAAACTTTCCTACTTTCTTCACCTGAAGTTCTACAGAGGGCAGGCAAATGGAAACCATAGCTATCTATATCAGCGTGCCTCCCTTATCTTACTAGAAGCGAATTCCTGGGCCATCAGACAGGAGACCAAGGGGGAAAAAGTGCTGAACTCTGGAATTCTAGTCACGGATACTATTTTCTGGCCATGAGCTCTTTTCCAGTCCTCTCTCCTCCTCAGTAAAATTGGTAAAATATTACCAGTTCCATGTGCCTCAGTGCAGCTGCAAATTAAATGAAGGACGAGGTTCATGACAACAGTTTTAAAAAGCGGGGAGGGGAGGGGAAGGGCATGAGAAAAGAATGTGTGTTATGTACATGTGCCAACTCTCCATAATAATGTAATCATTAGGCACTGCAAACATATACTAATAAAAACTTAAAAGACAAATTATACAAATGCAAAACTGGGCATGGTGGTGTGTGCTTGAAATCCCAGCACTCAGGAGGCTGAGGCAAGAGTATCACTTGGTTGTTTTTTGTTTTTTTTTTTTTTTTTTTGGTTTTTCTCCGGTACCGGGAACCGAACTCAAGGAGTATCACTTGGAGTTCAAGGCCAGCCTGCACTACACAGTGAGACCATATATCAAAATAAAAATATTTATATATTAAAATATAAATCCCAATATATATAAACATATATAAATATATACAGTAATTGTAATATATATGTATTGTAAATATATTGTAAATGTAAATATATTTATATATGTAAAAAATGTAAATATATTTATATATGTAATTTTATATATATAAATTATATATAAATATATATATAAATTCTGACACCTGAAGAGGGGTTGAAGGGAGGGTAGGGAGATGGGAAAAAGAAAAAAAAAAATTTCCTACACCTAAGGCTAAAGATTTCCTAACTCGCCCCAGTTTTGCAGACCCCGCCCCTCGGGCAGTGACTGTCCCAGCGCGGTCCGCTCGCAGCATAACGCGCTAGTCACGGACTGGAAACCCGCCCTTGCGCAACCTTCCGGCTTCTAAGTCAAAGCCCTGGCGCTTCACTCGATCAACAGGTTGTTTACTCCCCACCTAGACAGCAACCAAGATCTCCGGGGTCGTGCGGCAAGCAGACCCAACCCGCCCTGCCCACATCCCCAAAACTTCCGCCCAACTTCCTTCCAGTCTACTTGCCACTGCGCCCTCCAGTCCCACGGAACGCTATCCCCCGCCTGACAAATACTGCAACCCCATTGGCTAGAAGCTCCTTTTCTGACCAATTACAAAGGAGTTGGCCTCGAGCGGGTGATTCCATTGGTTCCATAGCGTGCCCCTCGGAATCGTTAAATCTATGGCTTCCAATCAGGACTCAAGCGTGGGAAAAGCCCCAAACAGTGGGGGAGGGCAGGCCTAGAAACCCCATCGCCTTTGTTCTTAAGGCTGCTGCGTTCTCCCGTACAAAGGTTGGCTGGAGATCAGGCACTCACACCTCTAGTGCTCCAGTCACGGCCACCTCTGGTCCTCCTTGAGGAGACACCAAACCCTCCGGAAGATCTATTGCTAGGAGAAACTAAGGCAGAAAGGAGAAACTGAGGCAGGAAGGGCGTGGCTGCCTATGTTTCCCCTAGATGCCGTTCCCAGTCTCAGTCCTTTACTCCCACACTCAGCGCCCCTACCGTGGCCCTGGCAAGGTGCAGCCGCGTGGCGGCGCGGGGCGGAGCTTAGCTGGGCAGGACCAGGATGCAGATCCTGGAATAAGGCACAGGTGGTTGGGGCGTCCCGGGCAGGCTGATCCGCGGGCTGGGCCTCTGACCCTCAGCGAGAAGGCCTGGCCGGTGAGGGGCTGTGGCAGGTGTGGAAGCAGGACGCTGTGGGATGGGAAAGCTATCGCCTCCTTTAATGACTGCCCTGCGTGCTTTCCTGCAGAAGCATGGATCTCGGGTCCTCTGACCTGCTGGATGTGTTCCTGGAGCCCCCAGAAGATATCTTCTCCGCAGGGTCCTTCCTGGAGCGGGGCTTCACCTGTTCCCCTCTGGAGGTTCCAGGGACCAGGCTCGGAGAACAGGGGTGGCGAGGCTGGGAGCCCAGTGCGGGCCACGGCTGTTCTGGTGTGGTGGGTGGCTGGAGAATCGGTGATGAAAAGTCCTCTTTAGAGAGAAGTGTCAGAACAGAGCTCCCAAAGTAGACTCCAGGTGTAACTACGTATCTCTATGACCAAGGACAGAAGGGACTGAAATTGAAGCACAAGGAACCTAAATCTGATGTCAGGTAGGACTTGTGAAATTCTTCCTGGCCCATACCTATACTGTCTCCTATTATAGGGCCTTCAGGAAAGTGAGTCTGAGGATTTCCTGAAGCTTTTCATCGACCCCAATGAGGTGTACTGCTCCGAAGCATCTCCTGGCAGTGACAGTGGCATCTCGGAGGACCCTGGCCGCTCAGACAGCCCCCCTGGCCCACTGGCCCCTGGCTCTCCTGCCCTTTACGAGGTCGTCTATGAAGCAGGGGCTCTTCAGCAGGCTCAGGGGGAAGCTGGGCCAACCTTAGGGCTCTTCTCCATCCAGCTAGGTCAGTGTTCTGTGGGAAGAGGGTGAGGGGCTTCCCCAGACGCTGCTGTGTACGGTGTCCTCTCTCCCCGACCTCCAGCCACTGTGTTTCCTCCAGATCAGTGGAGCCCACAGTTGGTGGTACCTGATGCCCGTGGAGTCCACGAGCTGCCCTTTGATGCTCACACTCACATCCTGCCCACTGCCATGGCCTCGGTGCCTCCAGCCACCCTGGTGAGTCTGGGCCTCAGTCAGAACTGGCACCCCAGTATGCAGGTGGATCTGCACAGAGGGGGACCAAGGGGAGGAGGAAGGGAAACTGATCTGAAACTGTGTCTTTGCCCCACTTTTTGTGACCTGGAGGGCAAGGTGATGTGAACAGGTTCAAGAGCGGGGAAAGTCCAAGGCAGACACAAGCCTTGGGGTAGAGCGGCGATGAGTAGCTGAGGGAGTCTGGGGAAAGCCCAGACCTTGTGTTCACGGTGTGCTCAGCCAGAGCCATCATCTCAGCCTTGGTCAGGATGTGGAACTGGGACAGGATGCCTGTGAGTCCAGCTGGTTAGTGGGCACGGGGAGGAGGAGCCCCACCTGTGTCTCCACTGCAGCAACTGCAACGTAGCTGGCAAGGGCTGGGGCAGAGCAGTGTCCACACAGAGGCTTCCCAAGCCTGGCTGCAGTGCTGCGTGGGGATTAGGAGGGGCTTTCCTGTGGTCACTCTTCTTCCTTCACCCCGGGAAGTGTTCTTTGTACCCAAAAGGTAGGGAATGGGGCCTAGCTTCCTTTACATCTGTGGTTGAAGCTGGAACCAGAAGTCAAGCCAAGCATCTTAGAATCTCAGGCTGAAAACTTAAAAAAACTTTCGCTAGGCATGGTGACATATCCCTGTAATCCCAGCACTCAGGAGGCTGAGGCAGGAGGATCAATAAGACTTCGAGGCCAGCCTGTGCCTCACAGTGAGTTTAAGGCCAGCCTGAGTTACAAAGGGAGACCCTGTCTAGAAAAACAAAACAAAAAGAAAATTTAGAAGCCACGCTTGGTGGCACATACCAGTAATACCAGCACTTGAGAGGCTGAGACAGGAGGATCACTGTGAGTTTGAGACCAGCTTAAACTACATAGGGAGTTCAATGCCAGCCTGTAGGACATAGTGAGGCCCTGTCTCAAAAATCAAACCAACCAACCATACACACAAAACAAAAAAATATGTATGTGGGCATTGTTTGTTTGCTTTAGATAAAACGGGGAAGCTGGGCCAACCTTAGAGCTCAGTGTTCTGTGCATGTTTGTTTGTTTTAGATAAAACCCCCTGGGCCCTATTTGCAGACATTTTGATAAGATAGATCGGAAGAAACATCCCCCAGTAGTTCAACCAAGCTGCTGTAGAAGCAGAAGAAAACAACAAAAAATGGGTTAGCCAAAAGCCAAAGGCCATCAGAAGGTCAAAGCAAAAGCCAAAGAAACAAAGCCCCAGGGCCTCACGCTGAGCTGTATCTCCAGTCTTTTCTTCCTCCCCCTTTGTCTTTTGTCAACAGGGTAGGACACTAAGTTGCCCAAGCGGGGCACAAAGCATATGTCTTTCAAGAAGATGGGCAGAGCCCATCTCTAATGGACTCACAGCACAATCCAAGCTACTCTGGAGACTGAGGCAGGAGAATCTCTAGGCGAGCCCAGGCAATTTAGGAGACTCTGTCTCAAAAATAAAAAGGACTTTAAAGTTGGGCATGGAAGGCTGAGACAGGAGGATTGATACAAGTTCGCGGCCAGCCTGGGCTACCTAGTGAGTTCGAGAACAGCCTGAACTGCATAAACAAATTAATTAAATTAAAAGGACCAGGAAAGCTGGGCAAAGTGGCACATTCCTGTAATTCCAGCACTTTGGAAGCTGAGGCAGGAGGATCACTGAATTCGAGGCCAGTCTGGCCTACAAATTCAATTCAAGGCCAATCTGAATTACATAGTGAGACCTGTCTCAAAAAAAAAAAAAAAAAAGGGGGTGGGGTGGGCTGGGACTTAGCTCAGTGGTAGAGCACCTACACAGCATATGTGAAGCTCTGAGTTGCGTCTCCAGTACAGCAAAACAAAAGAACCACCCCACTGCCAAAAAAAAAAAACTTTCAAAAAGGAATACTAGAGGAAAGGCAAGTGACTCCATCAAATTAGAGTTGATGGGCTCAGGTTAGCCGTAGACATTGTCTCCTCTCCCTACCTACTTTGCTGTAAGAAGCCATGAGGTCTGGCTGCCCCTGGAGAGTTCCTTGTCGCAGACAGGACAGCCTGAAAAAAGGGGCAGACTCTGCCACCTTGAAATTTACGGCAAATCGTTTACCCGCTGTAGGGAAATTAAGCAGACTTCACTGCAATGAGTTCATTAGTCTTTTTAAAACGCCTTTAAGGTCCTGGGAGACAGGAACCAAAACAGACCCTCCCCAGCTTGCGCAGAATATGAGGGCCCTAAGGCTGCAGCCAAAAGATGCAACAAAACCACAGCTCTCTCCCTTCTCAGCCTCAGATCCCTCGGCTGTGATGCAGAGACTGTCTCTACCCTGACCTCACCTCTAGCTTGCTGTTACTCCTCGGTGCAGACAGCACCCTAGAGGCCTGGGGAGGGCGGGACTGGGAGGACTCCCTCCCCGCTTGCTTCTCACCTTTTCCTGCCCCACCTCACAGCTGCCCTGCCAAAGCCTGCTCCTGACGGATGAGGAGAAGCGTCTGCTGGGGCAGGAAGGGGTTTCTCTGCCCTCTCATCTGCCCCTGACTAAGGTAACACTCCTCCCCAAGGGCTACCCCAGCCTTGGGGTCCAACTATGGCTTCGAAAGAGCCAGGATCCCAGGGAAGAGGTGGGAAACTGTGGGAGGTTGCAGGCCTGACCCAGCCTGGTCCTCCAGGCAGAGGAGAAGGTCCTCAAAAAGGTCAGGAGGAAAATCCGGAATAAGCAGTCGGCTCAAGACAGTCGGCGGCGAAAGAAAGAATACATCGATGGGCTCGAGACCAGGTACACGTAGCTCCCATTTCTGGCATCCTGTGGGCCATGTCTGAGACCCTTCCTCACCAAGGCAGGGAATGTAAGGGGCTGAGACTGCCGAGCTTGTCCTACCTCTCCATCTTCCCTAGGGTGGCAGCCTGTTCTGTACAGAACCAGGAACTGCAGAAAAAGGTCCAGGAGCTGGAGAGGCACAACATGTGAGTGCAGTCGGGTGCATGTGCGCCAGGGGCAGGGCGAGCGCTGGCTGGGGCTCCCAGAATGTACTAACGCTTCACACCTTTCCAGCTCCCTGGTAGCTCAGCTCCGCCAGCTGCAGATGCTCATTGCTCAGACCTCCAACAAAGCTGCCCAGACCAGCACCTGCGTTCTGGTACCTCCAGTCCACTTCCCACTCCCCACCTCCCCCATCTCCCATCCTGATTCCCCCACTGCCCACTCGTATTTATCTTTCTCCCCTAATAACTCCAACTGTCATCCAGCCCCTCTGATCCCTTCTTTTTTTGTCCCCACGGCACGTCCTTTTGCTTCCTTCCAGATCCTTCTCTTTTCTCTGGCTCTCATCATCCTGCCCAGCTTCAGCCCCTTTCAGGGTCTACCAGAAGCTGGGCCTGAAGAATACCAGCCTCATGGAGGTGAGAGGCGAGGGCAAGGGGGCTCCCCTACGAGGAAGGGAGATTGTTCACAGAGGGCAGGCCGGGAGGCTGGGTGCAGTGCTATGCTTGTGGTCCCACCTGCTTGGAACCTGAGACAGGAGGATGACTTGATCCCTGGAGCCTGACACCAGCATAGGCAGTATAGCAAGACTATCTCAGGACAACAAAGGAAAAAAGAAAAGGCGAGCAGAAAAGAGGGAGAAAAAGCAATAGGAAAGTCCTGTCCCGCGTAGGGTCCCCTGCCCCAGGGAGAGTACCGAGTACTCGATAGGTACTCTACTGTGGTGCTTCTTCTTTCCCCTCAGTGATTTCCAGGAATATCTTGACCCACAAGGACATGGGAGGAAGTCTGGAGACTCCAGTGATAGAGTCCAAAGTGGGGGAGTCACCTGGAGCTCAGAGGGCAAATGGCTCAAGGATCCCACCAGAGAAGATGGGCCTGAAGACCAAATCCAGGGGGCACCTCAGAACTGTACATGCAGATGAGATGTGAGCTGGGGCAGAGACCTTCCTGGCCTCCTTCCCAGTCACAGTAAGGAATCTAGGGCGCCCCTCAGGCTCTGCTTCTGCTGGGAATTCCCACTCAGTGTCTCTTCCTTTCAGGATCTGAATCACTTGAGAATACCCTAGGACAGTGATGGCGAACCTTTTAGAGTTTTCAATGATAGCAAACAGTCCGCTGCCACATGCATGCCATAGCACTTTGTAGCCCAGGCTGGTCTCGAACTTGCAACAATCTGCCTGCCTCAGCCTCCCGAGTGCTGGGATTATAGGCGTGCACCACCACGCCCAGCTTCAAATACTTTATGTATCTGTGATTTTTATTACTTCTTTGGGGATAAAGTTGAGGGAAATACAAATTTTGACTGAAAAATAAACTTTCTAGCTAAAATTGCATCCCAGACATTTTAAGTAAATAGTAAAAGTGGGGGGGAGATACGTACTTGGTAAACTGCCATCCCTATTTCTTCTCTGTTTCCATGACTTCCTGTTCCAAAGCAGACTGCTGTAGGGAAGGAAATTATTTTACTTTTTTTTTTTTTTATTGTGCTCATGAGTGAAGTGAAGAAGAAAATGGGGAAAGGGTGTATCACCACAGACTCCAAAGAAGCAAGGGCACAAACCAGTCCATTCCACTTTTTTTGATAAGATGTGGTCTGTAAGACCCAGGGTAAAGGGTGGTGTAGTTATATGGATTCAATTTGTTTCCGGACCTTTTCCAGAGCCTTTCTGTCCAATTGTCGCTGACGAATGACAACAAGGCAAGCAAAGATCAAGGCCACACCAACTACAGCCCCTTCAAATTTCCAGAATAAGTGCTGTTCCATCAGAGCTGAGCGGCAGCTGTGGGTAGAAAGGAATAGTTATTTTCAGGGAAGATAAGACAGCTTCTCCTTCTAATCTCCCTATCATGTGTTTACAGTCCTTGGTGAGCCAACATTAATCAATTTTATTGATGAAAAACTATGGCCAGCGACTGGGGATTTAGCTCAGCGGCAAAACCGCCTGCCTGGCATGCTCAAGGTCATGAGTTCAGTTCCCGGTACCGGAGAAAAACCAAAAAAAAAACAAAACAAAACAAAAAACGATGGCCAATAACTGTGCTGAGGAGTAGAGCTAGAACTCAAATTTAAGTAATTAGGCTCCAAAAGACCTCCTTGCTGGGTGTAGTGGCGCATGCCTGTAATCTCAGCACTTGGGAAGCAAGAGGACTGCTTTGAGTTTTGAGTCCAGCTTGAACTAAACAGCAACACCCTGTCTCAGAAAAACCTACCTCTTTCCAATACACAGCACACCAGCCCTGACCAGCAGAGGCAGGACTATTTACTGAAGTCACAGGATCAAAGGAAGTTTCAAAGAAGAGAAGCAATCCTTACCTTTTGAACTCATTCCTCTTAGACGTACTGCAGGTGATTTTCTCTATGTATCCTGTAGAACCACATTCAGGGATAGTTTTCTGTCAGCAGAAGAGGACCAAAGCCTGTGTTAGGAAGAGGCAGCAGGAGCAAAGGGGCTGCCTTTCAGAAGCAGGGACCTGGGCTGGGGATTTAGCTCAGTGGCACTGCGCCTGCCTGGCAAGTGCAAGGTCATGAGTTCAATTCCTGGTACCGGAAGAAAAGCAAAACAAACAAACAAACAAAAACAGAAGCAGGGACCTAACTGCGATGGCCCAAGCTAATAAAGAGAGATAATAAAGTTTTGATATGGACAGGGGAGGTGGTAGTTGTGTGATTAGGCATGTGTGTTGGAAAGGGCAGAGATTAGGAGAGATAAATTCCAGAGCCCACTACATTGAAAATAAACAGAACATGGAAGGAATGGGGCATATTTTCAAGAGGAGAAACAAGTTATCTGGACATTCACTTAAAACACGAGGACAAGAAAACACAATGCAGACGCATGCTAAATGACACGTGACTGGCCAGATGTGGGGGAGAGGGAGGAAAGCAGCACTTACAGCCTGGAAAGTAGAACACGGGGCGCACTCTTCTGCCACCACGAACTCTTCCACCAGCCAGCAGGGCGAAGTAGAGGTGCTCACTCAACGAGGAGAAAAAGGCAAGCCCCGCAGACCATTCAGAACACGTTTCTTCCAAAACCACCCACCCCCCTTCCCAACCAGGCGCGCGCCCTCGTCGCAGGTGCCGCCGCCCTCTTTCACCTGTGCTCTTAGAGGACGAGGAAGATTAAAAACAAAAAATCATGGGGGTTCGGGTTCCTAGGAAATCACTCACCGGACAGTTTTTCCTCCCGAACCGGAGCCTCTGCTTGGCTGCAGCGGAGGGGTAGGGAGCAAAAGTCAGAATCCAGAAAACACGGCATCCCCACCTTTGCGGTCCGAGGACGAGGTGTCCCCCACCCCCGGGGGCGGGCCCTCGCTCCCCCGCTTTTCCTTCCTTACCAGAGATTTAAGGTGACAGCGCACAGCAACCAGCACAGGTGACGGCCCTGGGCGAGGCCCCGCCGCCCCGTGCTCGCAGGCATGGAGCAGTCAGGGTCGCACCTGTCAGAACAGGAGCTGCTCTACCAGCGCTTACTCTGCAGCCCTGCCGGAAGTTCCAGCCCAGGGCGGTAAAATTCCGGGGTTGTCTATCAGGGCACAGATTTTATCAGGACGACCCCATAGCTACCGCGAGCAAAGCTCTGCATTCGTTGGCGAGGGTCTCGAGGCCCTCCGGCCGAGAGCTCAGGCCTATCTCCAGCTCATCCCAACGGCCGCTCTCTGTGCGGCCATCTTGCCCGCGGAGGATGCTGGGACGCGGCCCGCGGAGAATGCTGGGACACGCGCGCCGCTGGGCCTTGTAGTCTTCCGCGGCGGACGCCCGCCCTTGGCGTCGTGGGAACTGGAGGCCAGTGCATTTGCGCAGCAAGATGAAGCCCATTGGCTGGGAGCCCTGCGGCATTGTGGGTCGGGTAGTGCTTGCTGGAACTTGCGTGGCGTGTCCTTTCGCTGTTGCCTGGCCTGTCGCCTGTTTGCAGATTCTGGGCTGGGTGAGCGGGAAAACGGGAAAGAAAGGAACACTAGGTTGCCCTGCCAAGACTTTGGGTCTTTCTTAGAGATTCAAGATTCACCGTTGAGGGGCTGGGGATTTAGCTCAGCGGCAAAGCGCCTGCCTGGCAAGCTCAAGGTCGTGAGTTCGGTTCCTGGTACCGGAGAAAAACCAAAAAAAAAAAAAAAAAAGATTCACCGTTGAGATCTAGCGTCTTGGCACCTTCCGCATACCCATTCCCCGTCTTGTCCGGCAAGTGGAGCACTTACTTGGCGGCGTAGGGATGGAGACGAAGCTGCACTTACTCCTTCCCACAGAAGCGGGAATGTCTGACACCCACATAACGTGAAACTTGCTCCTGTCTCTGTGCACCCACTCTGCCCTACACAGACGCAGAACTAATTCTGTAGATAAAGTCTTCAGAGGTTTTCAACTCTTATTCCTACCGAGCGAATAATCACTAGGGGAATGAAAGAAGGAGATGTGGAGTTCCAACAAGGGCTGAGACTACCCGAAAATTTAAAAACGCATGGACATCTGAAATGTATAAACACTTCTCAGAAGTACAGACAGGCTATAAATACTTTTTTAAAATGTGCAACATTGCTGGCCATTAGAGAAATACAAATTAACACTGAGATACCATCTCGTTCCAGAAAGAATGACTATTGTCAAGAAATCAACCAGTAGGGCCTGCCTAGCAAGCACGAGGTCATGAGTTGGATTTCCTGTACCGAAAAAAAAATAAATCAACCAATAACCTAGGTCTGGTGGCAAATGTCTGTGATCCCAGGACACGTGAGGCTGAGGCAGGAGTATTGCTATGAGTTTGAGGCCAGCCTGCACTACAAAGTGATAGACCCTGTCTCAACGAAAAAAAAAAAAAAAGCAAAAGATATCAACCAATAACATGCTGGGGGGGGCCCTTCCTCAAAAAGCTAAAAATAGAAATTCCATTTGACCCAGCTATTCCCGTTCTAGGCATCATCCTAAAAGAGTTAAAAGACAGCACAGTGATGCATCTGTACGCATGTTTAAGCTGCATGATTCACAATAGCTAAAATGTGGAAGCAGACTACATGGCCATCAACAGATGAATGACTAAAGAAATTATTGCAGCTTGCCATGGTGGCACAAACCTGTAATTTCAGCACTTGGGAGGCTGAGGCAGGAGGATTGCAGTGAATTTGAGATCAGCTTGAGTTACATAGTGAGTTTAAAGCCAGCCTGAATTCCATAGTCAGACTGAGATAGGAGATTTGGGCCTGGCAGAACTGGCTGGGGAAGTACGCATGACCTGTTGATTACAAGATCCTAGAAAACATATGCAGAACAGTTCCCAACGCCCTGAACGTGGACTTCTCGTGAGAACTTGAGCAGGTTTTTAGTAGGATCTCCTAGACCTGAAGTCAGCCTTAGGGCATGGGATCCCAGCACTGCCTTTCAGGACCCTTACATAGGAATTCTCTTGGATTTCCTCGAGATTTGGACAGTATAAAATGACACAGACCACATGTCTGTAATCCAAGCACTCGGGAAGCTGAGGCAGGAGGATCGTTGAGAGCTTGAGACCAGCCTAGGCTACAAATTGAGCTCATGGCCAGCCTGAACTGCATAGCAAGACCTTGTCTCAAAAAAAAAAAAAAAAAAAAAAAAAGACACAGGCCAAAGCTTGCTATGGCAGCTTTCCTCACAATAGTCTGCACTGCTTTCTTCAGGGTATTCTTTTATCTTGCTTTTTCCTTTTTTACTCAGCACAAGCTCACTCTGCAGAGCCATTTTCTTCTTCACAGTTCACTTATACTTCATCAAATAAACTTTGCTATTGCTTTTTTGGGGGGTAACGGGGAGAAGGGGTCACTATGTAGTCCAGGCTGGCTTCGAACTCAAAGTGATCCTCCTGCCTCAGCTGAGTGCTGGGATTACAAGGGTGTGCCACCACACCTGGCCCTTTATAAGGATTTATTTATTTTGGGTTTGGGTTTTTTGGTGTTGGGAATCAAATTCAGGACCTTGTACTTGCCAGGCAGGTGCTTGTGCTGCTCAGCTAGATCCCCAGCCCCTATAAGGATTTATAAGAGAAATACATGAATCTGATGCTGATGACAAAAAAAGTGGAAGGGGCTGGGAATTTAACTCAGCGGCACAGCTCCTGCCTGGCAAGTGCAAGGTCGTGAGTTTGATTCCTGGTACCGGAAAAACACACACACACACACACAAAGGTGGAAGGGAAAGGAAAAAAAAAGAAATGTGTTGTGTACATGTACTGATTCCCCACATTGAATGTAATCTTTTTTTTTTTGTCTTTTTGAGACAGGGTCTCGCTATGCAGTTCAGGCTGGCCTTGAGCTCACTTTGTAGTCCAGGCTGGCCTTGAACTCAAAACGATCCTCCTACCTCAGCTTCCCGAGTGCTGGGATTACAGGCCTGCGCCACCACGCCCAGCTGAATGTAATCATTATGTACTGCAAACATGAACCAATAAAAATTGAAAAAAAAGTGTTGAGACTGAGTTCAAGTGTTTATTAGCTACATGACTTTACAACAGTGTCTAGCTCTCGGATCTGTGTAAAATAAAAATGTAAATGTAAAGTCTAGGGGCTGGGGATTTAACTCGGTGGCACAGCGCCTGCCTGGCAAGCGCAAGGTCTTAAGTTCAATTCCCGGTACCGGGAGGCGGCGGGGGGGTGGGGATATATATAGATATAGATATATAGATATGTGAAGTCTAGTACTTTTTTTGTTTTTATTTAACATTTTCATTTTTGGGGGACAGGGCCTCACCCTCAGGTTGGCTTTGAGCTCACCGTGTAGTGCAAGCCTGCCTTGAATTCATGGCGATCCCCCTGCCTCAGCCTCCCAAGTGCTGGGATTACAGGCATGGGCCACTACACCTTGTTTCTTTCTTTTGTTTTGCTGAGACAGGGTCTCATTATGCATTTAGGCTGGTTTTAAACTTACTAGGTAGCCCAATCTCCCTAAAACTCATACCAATCTTTCTGCCTCAACTTGTAGAGCGCTGGGATTGCAGGCGTGTGCCACCATGCCCAGCACAGCACAGCTGTTTGTTTTTTGAGATAAAATCTTTCTGTTTAGTTCAGACTGGCCTCAAGTTCCCCATGTGGTCCAAGATGTCCTTGAAGTATGAGTGCTGGGATTACAGTGTGTACTACCATGCTAGGCTAGTTTGGCTTACCTAGATGCTCCATAAAGAGGTACTTAAACTTCATGTACGTAGCCCTAATAAAACAATCTGGACTCTGCCTCTCAAGATCACAGAGCTGTCTCAGTATTTTTCCTTGTTAGCATGGCTCCATAGTCCCCTGTCCCCCTCAGAACGTCTTTCTCAAATACTACTGCTACTGCCTTTGCCTGAAGCCCAAAGTGTTACAGTGCTTTCCTTTTGGATTAATGGTGGCATGTTCTGTACATTCTATTTGCCTCATATTTAGAGGAAACCACCCCCTGGGTGAAACTGGGCAAGTACAGGTTAACTGGACAGCCAAGCTCCCTGAGGAAATGGATGGTTATGACCCTGGCTGTGTGCAGGTGCGTCTATAATGCAGCATCAGCGGAGCACGACAGACTTGGAAAGTTCTGGCAGAACTCCCTGCTCTCCCTTCTCCCTTGACCACTGTTCACCCCCTAACCACTGGTCTGCTTCTATAACCTCGCTTTGCACCGCTTTCCAACGAAAAATCACCACTAGAGAAGAAACAATACAAAAGTGGAAACAAAACTTCGTTCGAAGCTCTGGAGGAGACGTGAGTCCCTTGCAGCGATGCCAGCAAATCAAAGATACACTTTTCTCCTTCTCAGCGTCTGAGTGGCTTGTTCAGGATCCTGTTTGTCTCTTGCTTCATTTGGTTCCCTGACCAGGAAGCATAGGGAGCCGACACAACCATCCTCGGCCGATTGCCTCCCCATGGACGGAGCAGGGAGCTCAGCCAGGTGGCCAATGCCTGCCCAGCATGCCCCCGCAGATTTTCTGTGTGTGGGAGGCCTTCCTGCACTGCAAGCCAAGAGCACCAGCTGGCTGTCCGAGGAGGACTCACACAGAGAGGATCAAATGGCTTTTTGCAGACATCTGAATCACAGTAAGGATGCGACCCCGATTTAGAAGGGGATCTGGAACAGGATCTCCACTTTGGAGGGAGACTTCTCTTGTGTTCCCCGACTAGCTGCCAGAAGGGCAGCGACACTGCGACACTTTAGGCTGCGGTTGGCAGGTGGGAGCCCTGTGCGATGTGGGTGTGAGTGGAAGCGTGTGAATGAGACAGATAGTGCCCTCCGAACTCCGGTCTGGGTGCACAGGACTGAAGCAAGGTGCAGAGCTCCGAACCCCAGTTCCAGGGCCATCCTCACGTGGCTTAGGGCAGCACTGCGGTGATGGCCAGGATCACAGAACGGCCAGTGCTAAGAGGGGCCTGAGATGTCGCTGAGAGGCTGCTGGACAAAGGGATTGGTGTAGCTTTCTGTTGTCCTTTCTGTGGGTGGCAGGAGCCATGGGAGGAGCCAGAGCAAGTCCACTTCGTTAGAGGCGATGATAAAAAATTTTATTTTATTATATATATATATATTTTTTTTTTTTTTGGGGGGGGTCTTTTTTGAGACAGGGTTTCAATATGCAGCTCAGGCTGGGCTTGAGCTCACTTTGTAGCCCAGGCTGGTCTCGAACTCGCAATGATCCTCCTGCCTCAGCCTCCCAAGTGCTGGGATTACAGGTGTGCGCCACCACACCCAGCTGTTAAAAAATTTTAAAAAAGGATTTAATGACAACTATGG